AGAAGTGAGAAAAATAGTCTCCTTTGCTGCTGAAACACTGAAAACGCAGAACAAGGAGTGATCTCACCATTTTCACTATAACTTGTGATTTTGATGTCCGTTTTGAGTGAAACCACTTGCGTTCGAAATATTTTTCACTGCACAGTCCAAATGTGCAGAGGTTAGGCCAAACAAAATATGTTCATATGGTCAAAATTGACCCACACAGTGGCTGGACACAGAAACCTCCATGCTTTTTCATGGAGGAGGTGCAAAAACTTCATCTCGATGCTTTGATTGGTGAAAACATTGAGAAAGAAAGATGAAAGAGTGTTTTTACCTTGCTTGGATGTTCAAGAGCAATCAACACACTCCTTTCAACATGCAAGGGCAAAAGAAATGAGTTTATGATAAATCCATATTTTACCAGTATTTTACCTTAGTTTTAATACATTTGATAAAGAAAACATGTTAGAAAAAGCTAAAAAACTCATAAAAATAACAGAATGTTTAAAGTCTTTCCTAAATACATAGTTGTTTAGATTTTATGAATTTTCTGTGTAAAAATTAATGATTTAATCATATTTTTGTAGGAAATTCTGAGCTAAGTTCATAAGATTAGAAGATCAAGGGAAAGATTGAAGAAAAGTAGGAAAAATTGGAAGCAAAGAACAAGGTCTGGTGAAGCAAGAGCTGGGTGTGATCACTTTTCCTGGTAAAAGTGATTGTTCCAGAGCATAACATTGAAGGATGACCTGTGTGTTATCACTATTGCTAATGATAGTGATCGTTCTAGAGAGCTTTCAAGCATAGGACGGTGCGTGTTATCACTTTTGTTCACAAAAGTGATCGTTCCAGAGAAGCCTCTAGAAAAGCAAGTTGCGCGTTATCACTTTTTTTCAAAAAACTGATTGTTTCAGAGAACCTTCCATCACTACAAGCTACGCGTGTCTCCTATTGTTTACGAAAGTGAACATGCAGAAACCTCGAATCTTTGCATTGCTACTTTTATGAAAAATAGTGATTGTTCCAGTCCTGAAGATTATCAGAAAGGCCTCTGCGTGGCTACTATAGTGACCACGCCAGAAAGGTGGGAATTCTATAAATACGAATTAGCTCAGATCTATTAGGATCTTTTATTCATTTTTACTTTTCATTTGTTTTCTGGTGTTGAGAGAGTCTGAGAGAGATATTGGGGACGAACACCAAGCTTCAAATCTTAAGGAATCAGATTGAAGATTGGCCTGAAGATGCTTCTTCGTTCATCTTCTTCTTCTCTTTCTTTCTCTTTTCATTTTGTAATGGTTGCTTAAACTCTTTGTAGTTAGGGATTGTGGATCTGAAATGGAAGTGTTGAATTGATTTTGGATCTGAACTTTGAGTGTTGGATTGGATTGAGTAATTGATTCTTCTTTTCAAGTAGTTATTGAATAGAAATTTGATTAACTAATCACAGAGAAGCTTTTATCAATGGAAGTTGAATTTGTTTCTCAGATCTGAATCAATTACCAGATTATTGATTTCTTAGGGATAAGACATCTTGATCTTGCAATCTTTTGGTTTCTAATGCTTAATACAACATTTAACTGAACCAGATCTAAGGCATTAGAATGATTGAATTGAATGTTAGATTCATTGAGTTAAGGAATTAACCTTTGATTAATATATCGTGAAACTGATTGTCATCCCATCTAAATACTTGAAAGTTCAGAACTTTATTGAATCAACACTGAAGTTTTGGTGAAACAAGTCCCTAACTATGTTTTCTACATCTGTTAAATACACATTTTCATGATCTTTGTTCTGTTCTATTTTCTGAATGTAATATTTGTTGCTTTTACTTACAAACTTCAACTGAATTTCATTAGGCTCAACTAATTGTGGACTTGTGAAGTTATATTTGAGAATTCTATTCCCTGAGGACGATATTTGGGACTCAAACATAGTTCTAAAAATTTTATAACTTGCTACAATAATACTAGTACACTTGCTAGTCAAAATTACTTCTGTTGAGAAGGTGACAATGAAAAGTGATCGTTCCAGAGAGGAACACCAAGCTTCAACCTTTGCGTGGCTCCTTTCTTTAAAAATAGTAATCTCTTTCATTAATCAAAGCTCTTTAAAAACTCAAATAGCTCACTTATTCAATCCTAATTCCTTCACTATACACTTATAACATAAAACTCAATCCATTCAACAGATTAACTCCAAAATGCAGAAAAAAGCAGAATCATAGCAATTGGAATTGTAGAAATTGAAATGAAATGAATATCAAAATTCAAGTACAACTACAAATAAGGTAAATTGGTTTAGAAATGTGAGTTGCCTCTCACAAAGCACTCTTTTAATGTCACTAGCTTGACGTTAAATGTTCCTCACTCTTGAGGAACCAAGTTAATGCAGAAGTTATTCCTAATGACTTCTCCTTCATGGTAGATCTTTAACCTTTGGCCATTTACTTTAAATTCTCTCCCTTCCTTCTAATCTTCAAGTACTACAACATCAAAGGGAGAAACTTCTTTCACCATAAAAGGTTCTGACTATCTTGACTTGAGCTTTCCAAGAAATAACTTCAATCTTGAATTAAATAGCAAAACTAGCTGCCCTGGTCTGAATTCTCTCTGCAAGATGAAATTATCATGTATTCTTTTAGTCCTCTCCTTATACAGTTTTGCATTTTCATATGCAAATTGTCTGAACTCCTCAAGCTCGTGTAACTGCAGCATTCTCTTTTCTCCGGCATTGGTTAAATCGAAATTGAACCATTTAGTAGCCAAATATGCTTTATGTTCAAGTTCCACAAGAAGATGACATGCCTTCCAAAACACTAATTGATATGGTGACATACCAATTGGTGTTTTGAATGCATTTCTATATGCCCATACTGTGTCATCCAATTTCCTTGACCAATCCTTCCTTGAACTATTCACCACTTTCTCCAAAATTTTCTTGATTTCTCTGTTAGAAATTTCATCAGGGAACTCCTCATTAATGTCACAGCAATATGATTGCAGTACTTCCAAAGGTATTCTGGACAGATGATCTGCAACACCATTGTCCTTTCCCTTCTTGTCTTTAATTTCCAATTGAAATTCTCAGAGTAGCAAGATACATCTTAGCAGTCTTGGTTTGACATCCTATTTAGAAAAGTATTTCAAGGCAGCATGGTCAGTATATACCACAACCTTTGATCCTACCAAATAAGATATGAATTTATCAAAAGCAAACACTATAGCAAGCAGCTCTTTTTCAGTAGTTGTGTAATTAATCTGTGCAGAATTTAGGACTCTACTAGCATAGTAAATCACATGCGGTCTTTTATCTTTCTTTTGTCCTAATACAACACCTATTGCATTGTCACTTGCATCACACATTAGTTTAAATGGTAAAGTCTAGTTAGGTTTAGCAAGTATTGAAGCAGAAATCAATTTCTCTTTTAAAATGGAAAAAACATGCAAACATAGTTCATCAAATACGAATTTTGCATCTTTCACAATTAAGTCACTAAGAGGTTTGGCAATTTTAGAGAAATCCTTAACGAACCTCCTATAGAACCCTGCATGGCCTAAAAAGCTTCTAATTCCTTTTACGTTTACTGGTGGAGGTAATTTACTAATCAGTTCTATTTTAGCTTGATCAACCTCCATCCCTCTCACAGAAATCTTATGGCCAAGCACTATTCCTACTTGAACCATAAAGTGACATTTTTCCCAATTCGTCACCAAATTAGTGTCTTGACACCTATGCAAAATAATGGACAAGTTAGATAGGCAGTTATCAAATGAATCTCTAAATACAGAAAAATCATCTATAAATACTTCAATTATTTTCTCAACTAAGTCAGAAAAAATAGCAAGCATACACCTTTGAAATGTGGCTGGAGCATTACAGAGCCCAAAAGGCATCCTTCTATATGCAAATATTCCAAATGGACAAGTAAATGCAGTCTTTTCTTGGTCAATTGGATCCACAGCAATCTGGTTATAGCAAGAATATCCATCTAGAAAGCAATAAAATGCATGACCAGCTAACCTTTGTAACATTTGGTATGCAAAAGGCAGAGGAAAATGGTCTTTTCTGGTCATATCATTTAGTTTTCTATAATCTATGCACATCCTTCAGCCTGTAACTGTCCTTGTAGGTATCAATTCATTTTTTTTATTTAGTACTACAGTCATTCCTCCCTTTTCAGGTACCATTTGTACAAAACTTACCCAGGTGCTGTCTGAAATGGGATATATAATTCCAGCATCCAAGAGTTTCATGACCTCTTTTCTTACCACTTCCTTCATGGAAGGATTTAGTCTTCTTTGAGGCTGCACAATTGGTTTCAATTTCTCTTCAAATAAAATTCTATGTTTGCAAAAAGCTGGATTAATACCTTTCAAGTCTAATATGCTCCATCCTATTGCTGACTTGTGTGCTCTTAAGATTCTCAATAGCTTTTCTTCCTCTTCTTCCTTGAGTTTATTGCTGATTATGACTAGATTTTCGTGATTTTGGTCCAAAAATGCATATCTCAAGTGAGAAGGCAACTGCTTGAGTTCTAACTTTTGAGTTTGTTCTTCTTCTATTTCCTTTTTCAGTTCTTCCTTGATTGGTTTCTCTGCAGGGGTCCAAACTGGTAAAGTTTCCAATTGCTGCACAATTTCCATAAGGTGTGCTTCCTTATGCATCACAGATTTTGTATTTCCTGCAACTATGGTTTCTTTCAACACAGAAATTTCATCAAAATCATCAAGATGATAAGGAGTAATAACAGAATCTAGTATATCCACTCTCACATGTGAGTTATCATCAATTGGATACTTGAGTGCTTGAAAAACATTAAATATTATCTTTTCATCCTGCACTCTAAGCATAAGCTCTCCCTTTTGAACATCAATAAAAGCTCTTCTAGTTGCAAGGAAGGGTCTTCCCAAAATCAGAGGTATATTTGCATCCATTTGCATCCATTTCCATGTTTAGAATTACAAAATCTGCAGGAAAAATAAATTTGTCAACCTTAACCAACAAATCTTCTACAACTCCATATGGATAAGTGAAAGATTCACAACTAATTGCAGTGTAATGTTGGTTGGTTTCACTTCTTCTATTCCCAACTTCTTCATGATAGCTAGGGGCATGAGATTAATGCTTGCTCCTAGGTCACATAAAGCTCTTCCCACACTACATTTTCCAATTTCACAAGGGATGCCGAAAGATCCTGGATCCTTGAGTTTTTGAGGAAGTTTTCTTTTAAGAATAGCACTGCATTCTTTTGTTAATGGCATTGTCTTATCATGTTCCAACTTCCTTTTCTTGGAAACTAACTCCTTCATAAACTTAGCATAAGATGGCATCTGCTCCAATTGTAACATCCTGTACTTTGATTTAAATAAAATGAGGTTTATTAAAGTATAATTGGAATAGATTTGGATAGAATTTATTTTAAAAAATAAAAAATAAAAAAAATTTTAAAAAAATTGTAAACAGTGCCAATGAACAGTAAAACTGCCTATGAATAGTACAAACCACGTATGAACAGTAAAATCACGTACGTACAGTGGCCGCTGACATCATCAGTGACATTATCTTGACATCATGGCTGATGTCACATATGCGTATAGTACGTATGCACAGTGTTTTTGACGTGAACATTGACCGAGAACAGTTTTTTCGGCGTGAACAGTAAGGCGGTGAACAGTATTTTTGGTGATGAACAGTAATTTCGGCGGTGAACCTCAAAAATTTTTTTGTCAAAAGGGAGTTTCACACAAAATTTTCATTTCTTTACTCCTATCCAAGGTTGTCAAAGGTTCCAAGGCTACATCTCACCATTTTCTCTCATACTAAACCCTCCTAAACTTAGATTTCTCTTCAAATTTGTGATTATACATCCGTTCTAAAGGATTTCAAGTAAGTTTCTCTAAGTTTGAAGTTAGATTTACCATTCGTTTATCTTCTTCTTTTTCTTATAGATATTCATTGTGTTCTTAGGAAAAACTTCATTATAGAGTTAAATCTTCGGTTAAATCTTTGTAAAAGCTCTGTTTTGAGGTAAGAGGGCTCTACTTTATCATTTTGTTATGTTTATTACTTGTATTCTCATAGATCTTGTCATATATATGATTATTTGTGGAATAATCCTTGTTTTATTAAAAATAATTGGTGAAAAGTGAGAATAATTGGTTGTTTATGTGATTTTATGATGAATACATGATGAAAATGTGTTAATATGTTCAAATAGTGCATGATAAGGTATATTGAGGATGGTTGATATGATTTTATGATTTTGTGATATGGAATATACAAAGAGATTGATGTTTCATATTTGAATATATTGTGTTTCATGTAAAAATGATGTGTATTGTGAATATGCCATGGTTTGATGTATATGATGAAAAGTATGTGAAAATATAATAAAAAATATGTGTGAACATGAGAAATGGCATATGTGAACATGTGAATATACTTGAAAGAGTATGAGATGGAAAAAGATATGATGTAAATAGTTACAGAGATACACTGAGGAGTGGAAGATGGAGACGATATGGGATATCTTAGGCAAATGCAGGGTGGTGAGTGACATTTAGGATTGTGTATGAAATATTGTGTATGAATGCACCATATGGCCGTACACTCGTTTCCCGACTTGACTCCTAACCATTACCTTTGCTAAGAGGCTGTCTATTGCATGCGTTGTATCCGTATTGCATTGGGCTATCCAATGACTATTTACATGGATGTGTAAGACCTTGGGATAGAGACATTGGATAACTGTGGCCACAAGGTGCAGTAAGCACGGATCAAAGAAAAAGAAATTGTGAATCTATGGAATATAATATATGTGTTGAAATGAGAACATGCTTTATATGACACTGTGATATGTATGCCATGATGTTTTATTTAATCGTGATAAGATGTGTTTTGTGATGAATATGTGTTTTGTATGAGTGGTAGGGTAGAGACTCACCCTTACACAACATTTCAGGAAATCAGGACGAGTAGTACCAGGCTCACAGTACATGGATGGATGAGAACTGCTATAGGACTTAGTTATTTTGAGTTATGTAATGGATATTTTCTTATTGTAGATCTTTTACTATTCTTCCTTTTTTTGCTGCATCACTCACTTTCTTTTCTGCAGGTTTTGGACTGGCTACCACAACTCCACTCCTTGTTGATACAGAAACAAGGATAACACACCTTTCTGGAACAACCACTTTTCTTGAGTAAAGTGGCCATGCGCAGGTAAGCATGAGCTATCAGTTTGCGCGTTACTCTTTTAGTTGAAAATAGTATCCACACTCAGAGAGTAAGCTTGTGTGTTATCACTTTTCCCAAAAAAAGTGATAACGCGCGTTTCATTCAAAAATTAAAGTCTCTGGAACGTTCATTTTTTCCAGCAATAGTGACCACACTTATAGCATTAACTCTTGAAACGTTCACTTTTGTTTTTAAAAGAGGTCAAGTGCATCTACGTGACTATATATTCAGAAAAGAGTGAACATGCAGACACACTCCCAAAACCAAAAATCACATTTCTCTCCAAAAATTTCTGAGATTCTTACTTTCTGTGAGTTGTTTGATCTAGCAACCTTTTTCTTCTTGCATGTTTGAATCTACATTGCAACAACTTCTATTCCAGGTAAGTTCTTCTTCATTTTTGTAACTGAAGTTAGGGTTCTTCATAGTTAAAATTCTGGAAAAATTTTTGAAAATGGAAACTGAGAGATTTTCTGATATTGATGAAATTAAAAGATAATGTAGCTAAGTTCTCACTTCATTTGACAACTTCATTGGAAGAATGGTAGATACAATGTGATATTTGCATGAACAATTTCTCTGCTGATAATGAGTTGAATTGAGGGGCCTATGATAGTGTTCAGAGGGCAAGTGTACCCATCGAGAAGTAATAAAGGGTTCTTAAATTAAGTTCCTGAAATATCGTCCCACAAGGATTGATTTCCAATTACTAAGAATTTCCTAATTCAATTGTTTAAGCTTCAAAGATACAAGATTAATTAAAAACAAGAATTTATAAAATCAATTATAAAACTAAGAGCAAGGAATACAATGCATGTCTTGGTTAAACTTATCGAAGAGGAACCTAGGCCATATGGGTTTTCTCATTCAATCCTTTATGTTATTTTTCTATTTAACTCTAAATTCAATTTCCTTGTGATTACCAATCATTCATACGAATACTATTAATACCCAATGATCATGCAATATTAATATTCTTTTCTGTAAATTAACATCCCCAATGGTTATACAAGACAACAATTTAAGAAAGCTTAAGAAACCTATGAACTTCTTAATTTAATAACGATTAGAAGAGAAAGATTGGTTTGGTCCACCTAATTCTTTGTCTTGTTTTACCCTATAGATCTATTAATTAACCGAGATACGGTCGCCTGACGATATAATTAATTAGGATTAAGAAAGAAGTGCAATAGGATAAAATCTAATCACAAAACGGAAATCAAATTTAGATTCAAATATCAAAATTTCATAAATTCATGAATAATAGTTCCCATAGCCCTAGCTATGGACTTAGTTACTCATGCTAATGAAAAGAACTAAAACAATCATAAGCAAAGCCATAATAAAAAAAAATAGCAAACTAGAGTATGAGATGTGTTCCCGGTCTTCAAGTATGATCGCTTAAAGCTCCAAGTCTCGCCAAGCATGTGCTAAGGATCCCGTGCAAGAGAGACGAGATCAGAAGTGTATCCGAAAGCCAAAGACTAGATGTAAAAAACGGTCCTTTTACGATGCCTGAGATCTTCCCTTTTATAGGATTTGAAAACCCTAAAAACTCTTCATAATTGGGCTTCCCGTAGATGAGCATGGTCGTGCAAGGCCTTAAGCACGATCGTGCATAGGCTCGAAGCACCCCTGTACTTATTGAATGGGTCTGGGCGTGCTGACTGCTGCAAAGCTCTAATCTTCCATCAATTTGGGCCAAGAATTCACTTGCGGCCTCTTTATACCAAACTGCACAATTAATATATAAATTAGTATAAAATTCAAAAAAAATAAAGGTCAAATATGTATATGGGTTGTAAAAGAGGGCCTAATTACAGACTTATCAGATAGACAATTGTCGAGTCACTATCAAAACAACTAAGTTTTCTAAAGATTTTGTAGTATAGAGCCAAACCAAGGTTGATTCACGGAGACACATTTTCAGTCAAATTCAATTTTAGGTTTTGTTTTAAAGATGCAAATAAGATTTTTTGGGTTTCAAAAATTGCAAATTAATTAAATCAAAATTATGAACAGAATTAAAGTGAATAAAAAATAAATTAAGAAACATCAATCCACAAAATACCAATTGCGTGTAACTCTAACTATCACAGTATCTAAAAATTTAAATCCACGTTTGAACAATCACCTAATTCAATTATTAATTCAATCGAATATCCTAATTGAATAAAGTTACGAATTACATCAAATAATCATTTAATCTAATCCACATTAACTATGAAATCAGAGCATCAATCGAGTCCTGATTTGAATTCTAACAATAGAAAAGTCAATCACAATCGCAATATACAATTCTGAGATTAGAGAGAAAAGAGAACAAACTCGGAGCTATTTAGCGTAGAACTCAAGTCAGAATTACAGCGTTTGGATTCCACATATTGAACGAGAGGTTTAGCCTTCTATCAAAGCGCTTAACCCACACAAGAATGAGAAAAGAACGAGAGAAAGAAAATAAGGATTCTTGTTTTGGCCAAGTCTCAAACTCTCAAAGTGTCTAATTGCATGTGCAAAGGCACACACCCTAATTCAGAATCTCATTAGTTTATTTATCAGTTCTGATTAGGGTAAACTAATTGGCCAAAATTTGAGCCTTAATAATATCTAAAAGCCCAAATGCAATTATTAAATAATAAGGGTTCAAATGCAATCCCAAAAAACATTCAGGAAATCTGTCTCAACTTCTAAAAATTATAAAAAATTGAAAATAACTCTAAATCCAGCGATCCATATATGCATTTTAAAGCCCTGGATGTGTAGAATCCAATACAACTAGAATAAGCCAAAAACAATATCTATAGAAAAAGTTATGGCCGAAAGAGTAGTCAGAAGTCAAAATTACCAGAAAATATGAAATTAAAACATTTATTTGCAATAGGCCTAATTTATTCCAATAAGTAAAAAATGGTAAAAACTATAAAAACAAAGCATATTAAAAGTGTTTATAAATGAAAATAAAACTAGAAATCTAGACATAAAATATGTTTTATCAAATTCCCCTACACTTAAGACTTTGCCCTTTGGAGCAAATCACTAAATCAAACCATAGGAGACTTAAAACAAATTAAACTATGTACAAAGTCTATGAAGTTCAAATATCATGGCTAGA